CTTCACGGAGCCCGACAGCTTGTACACGCACTCGTTCTTGTCCAGGTGCTCCGTCACCGCCGCGGGCAGGCTGACCTCCTGCGCCTGGGCCTCCGTCTCCTTCCAGCAGGTGTAGAAGTCTCTGAACGTCTCCGGGTCGATCAGTTTCTGCTGCCCTGAGCGGGACAAGGAGAAGAGCTGTCTGAGTCAGGCGGCTGGGCATCCCTGCTCTGCATTTCCTCAGGCGGCGGCGCATTCCCCGACCCGGGCAGAGGGTGGCGCCAGCACTCGATACCTGGATGGGAAGCGCCGGGAGCGAGCCCCCCTCCCTTCCCCTGCAGCCCCCACCCCCACCCGGTGCCGGGGTGGGCACTGGAGCTAGACCCGGCCCGTTTGCCCTCCCAGCCGCGGACCAGGGGCGGGGATCACCGGACAAGAGCACTCGCCGGCAGCACAGATCCAGCCGCCTCGGGCCACGCGGGAGCTGGTCCTCGGGTGACGCTAGCACTGGAGTCCGCACCCTGGTGACCTCCCAGGCCCCTGATCAAGCCGTGCCTGACGCCAGGCATTTCAGTACTTCTGGGTCACGTGAAGTTACTGCTACTATTGGTAACCAAGATGACCGTAACGGATGCAGTAACCTTTACAAATGTCCAGTCCAGCCCGGCCGGCGTGGCTCAGTGATTGAGCGTCGACCTATGAACCAGGAGGTCAGGGTTCGATTCCTGGTCAGGGCACATGCCAGTGGGGGGTGGAGCAGCAGGCAGCTGACCAATGATGCTCTCTCATCATGGATGCCTCTCTCTCCCTTCCCCTTCCTCTCTGAAATCAACATATATGTGTGTGTGTGTGTGTGTGTGTGTGTGTGTGTGTGTGTGGCAGGGGGACATCCCCTGAGGGGTCCCAGACTGTGAGAGGGCACAGGCCAGGCTGAGGAACTCCCCGCCCCTGAATGCATCAATTTCGTGCACTGGGCCTCTAGTTTATTATAATTGTTTATATGGTTAGATTTAGATTTCATATTTTATTTGACTTTTGCTTCCCCGCTCTGTTTTGTTTTTCTTTGTTCCTCCTTTACTATTTTCTTTTGGATTGCTTGAAATTTTTTAGAATTCAATTTTAGTGTGTCTATTGACTTTTTAGCTATA